AAACTCCTTTCGGCCTCCAGGCTCCATCTCCAAACCTTCATCGCGGCCCTATGGGCGCTGGCCCTGCAACTTCTTCACAATGACACAATCCAATGACCGGACTCCAAAACTTCACTCTCCGTGTAAGACAACTCTCGCTAGCGCTCTCAATGCTGGTTGCGTAACCAAATGACAGAGCACAGGGAGCCGGACGAAGTTGGAAGGCCAGCAAAACAGAGGATTGAAAAGGCCAAAGATTTCACCATTGTCTCCAGATGACAAAAGCCACCACCCTCTCCTCAGCCAGTTGTATCGAACGCATGCGCTGCCCAATTCCTTGCGAGCCTTGCTGGGGATTTCTTGTTTCCTTTTCCCCCACCCCCGCCACCTCCTAAAGCTAACCCACAAAAACAGAAAGAAATCCTAAACCGTCACAAAGACAAATAATATCCTCCAAAGTATCCTCTTCTTCTCCCCACACTTGACCCCTAACTTACTAGACTCTAAGAAGATATATGTTGAGCTCATTGGCGCCATTGTTGACGGGATTCATCATGTAGAAAGCTTTAGAATCTCAAGACCCAACAACATTCCAGCAGCCGAACATTGCTACAATTTTCTGTACCCGGAGCAGGGGAAGATTTTTTCCTCTGCCTAATATTACCTTCTTGGTTCTTATCGCACTCCCGAGCGATCTTGACCAACCCAAAAGGATCGTGAAGAAGTTGCAGGGCCAGTGCCCGCCGGGCAGCAGTGAGGGTTTGGAGACGGATCATGGAGGCCGAAGGATTTTTTTAATTTTTTGTTTTTCACATTATTATTAAATTTTTTAAACAAAAAAAAAATATTTAATTCATTGTTACCGGTAGACAGACGAAATAACAAACAAATGTATAATTCAATGACATTAGTGGTAACCGACGCCCTATTCGTACTTAAGTGGTATAGCTCTCCCAATCGTCATACTTTAGTGGTACTCGAGGTATTTTACCCCATATTTTGTTGTAGGTACGAATCTTGGGCACCCAGACTAATGTAACAAGATAGAATTTAGAAAGAGATTTAGATTGGTTGAGAGAAGAATTGGCCAGAGTTTGGTGATTTAAAATTGGGGATTAGGGTTCTTGAAAGTGACTAGAGAAAGAGGAATAATTTTGACGATACTTTGATGGTTTTTAACAGATATTCCTAACGATAGAACTAAAGTACATTTATATATAGGCTAAATTGCAAGTTTGGTCACTCGAATTACTTAAAAATTTCACGTTTGACACTAAAATTAATTTATTCTATTCGTAGTCACTTAAATTAGGTTAAAAGTTCAAGTATGGTCACTGGCCGTTAGTCTCCGTTAACTTTTGCTGATATGGCGGTCAACTCTTATAGTTGACCGTTAAATGAATGACGTGGACATTAAAAAATAATAAATAATAAAATTAATTATTTTTATTTTCCACCTAATTATTATAAAATTTGGTGATGGAAAAAATGATGGGTTGTTGTGTCCATATCCATGAGTCCCCCACCTCTGATTTTGCAAGTTTCTGTTAAAAGGTTCAGAATAATGGACCATCCTTCGCGGGAGAACGGCGACACCGTCAACGCCGAGCTCGAAATTGGCTTGGGGTGGCAGTGGCAGTGGCGGTGGCGGCTGCTCTGGTTTCTGGGCCGCCAGAACCTCTGCCGCAATTCACTACTGCCCTTTCGATTTCCTGCTTGGAACATTTGAATCGAACCTCCATCGCCGCGATCTCAGCAAGCTCCTCTTCGATTTCCATCTTCAACCCTAAATTCCTCAGTTCGGGGCTAACTTTTTCTCTATCGTTGTGATCGCCGTCATCGTCACCATTTCCTTCAAAGAGCCAGTTCACGGATTCCTCTACCTCTGTCTGGCGTGCTTCTTCTCGTTCTTCAGCCGGATTTTTTCCCGCCGGTCGCTGTCCAGCCCAGTGACGGTAACATGAATGTTTTCCGGCAACCGGATTTTGAAACTTCTTTGAGGTCCTCCACTCCGAAGCAGCAGCTGCCGTTGATGAAAACCGAATCGGGTTCGGAGCATTGCAGTGATGCCCCGACCGGGCTGCCCGAATGGTCGTGGTCGGGCGATGAGGAAAAAACCGACAACGACGAGAGAGTCAACTCAAGCACAATAATAATTAAAGTAATGAGGATTTTTTTTTAAATTTATTATAAATAGGTTGAAAATAAAAATAATTAAATTTATTATTTTATTATTTTTTAATGGCCACGTCATTCATTTAACGGTCAACGGTAAGAGTTGACCGCCACATCAGCAATAGTTAACGGAGACTAACGGTCAGTGACCAAACTTGAACTTTTAACCTAATTTAAGTGACTACGGATAGAATAAATTAATTTTAGTGGCAAACGTGAAATTTTTAAGTAATTCGAGTGACCAAACTTGCAATTTAGCCTTTATATATATATTATGACCCAAAATCCCAATCGACTATACCTATTAAAATACTAAACTACCCTTAAACCCCTAATTATACCCTCAACAATCCAGCCCTCTTGAAATCAACCATGACCTTAAGGTTGAAGCGAAACATCAATTCACACACACTAACAATACTAGGGATGGCAACAAAATCCGAACCCACGGGTACCCACCCGACCCAACCCGGTCAACGCGGGTAAAATCCGTGTTGACGGGTTTTGGGTCGGGTTTGGGTTTCAACCCGTTCACTATTCACCGGGTTGGGTTGGGTTTGGGTTTAGGTAAACCCGGCCCGTGGGTACCCGCCCACTCATATAATTAATTTTTTCGGTATATTTAATATTCTAAACAACTAATTTTATTTATGTTTGTGGAGACATGTCTAATTTTTTCTTTTTAATTGTGTAGAATGAAGTTGATGTTATGGAGTGGAGAGTAAAGAAACTTAATTGAAAGGAAGAAGCTTTCAATTAAACATGTTATTTATGGATAATTTGTGATTTGCTTCAATTTTCTTGAGTTTTCTAGATTGGTGTTGAACAATTTGTATAGTTAATTTGTAATTTGTTTGAATTTTCTAGAATGGTGTTTTATATATGGATAAGATGTATTGAGAGATTGATATTTGACTTTAATTTTGATAATAACTTGTAATTGTAAATTTTTTACGACAAAACCCGTGGGTACCCATGAACCCGCGGATACCCAACGGGTTGGGTTGGGTTTGAGTTTTTCAAACCCAGTGGGTTTTACCCCGGATTTTTTTCAAAGATAAACCCATGGGTTTGGGTTTGGGTTTGGCAAAACCCGACCCAACCCGACCCATTGCCATCCCTAAACAATACTAACTTGCATCTAATTTGTTGCTAGTTAATAGTTATAGCCAAAACATCCTAAGATAATTGGAACTAATAGATAAAATATAAATGATACTCAAGTCTAATTATTCGAATTACCAGAAGGAGAGGTTCACATTCAACAGGGGAAATAATTATCAAGGATGAGAGTGGTTCGATTATCTTGGCTCTAGGTATTAAGGGTGGGCATACGGTTCGGTAAAACTGAACCTAACCGAACCTAACCGAATATAAACCGAACTGAAACCGAATTAATGTTATTCGGTTCGGAATTCGGAAGAGAAAAGGGCATATTTCGGAAATCAGGGTCCTTTCGACCGAACCGAATTTCCAAATTCCGAACGGAAAAACCAAATTATTATAATTGCAAGCTTTAAATGGTGGATTTTTATGTTTCTACTTATTATGAGACTTAAATATTTGAATCATGTTAGTGTTTTATGACTTATGTGTTGAAATGTTTGATTTTATCATTGATGATGCATATTTATTGTTCGCATTATGGGTGAAAAATAATTTAAAAAAGAGAAGATACAAGCTTACCTCACTATTTCGGTTTTGTATGGAAAACCGAACCGAATTATAATTCGGTGTGAACCGACCGAACCGAATTATAATTCGGTTCGAATTCGGTTTGAGGTTTGCAAGAATTCGGGGACCCGATATGCATAATTTCGGTTCGGTTTGAACCGAACCGACCGAATGCCCACCCCTACTAGGTATTCATATTGTGGATATCGATGACCCGCTTACAGTTGAACTTTAAGTGCTCCGCGAGGCCATCCAGTGATGTCTGGATTGTGGTCTCTCTCAAGTACGGTTTGAAGGAGACGCAAATGTGGTCATTGATAAGGTAAATCTAGCTGGTGCTCAAGATAATCGTTTTGAAGCCATTCTTACGGAAGTCCGTGGTCTGCTGCGAAATTTTCATGGTCTTAATGTACGATTTGTAGGTCGGAATAACAATTGGATAGACCACTTAGTGGCTAGAAATGTCATTTCTTTGTATCCAGCTACATGTCGCTTTTTTTATTTCCTTTCCTGTTTGTATACCAAAATGTAATTTCTTGGATATCTTTCTTTTTTTTTGGTCGAGTTCTTGGATATCTTTCTAATTAATATAAAATTATTTTTTGTAAAAAAAAAATTATTCGAATTGTCATATCCGCCTGATTTATTTTGTTTAACAAGTCGTTAAGACTCTGATTTTACGGGGGTCGTGGTTTAGTTTTGCTTATCTTTAATCCCATGGGTCTTTTACTCTACTGTTCTTTGCTATGAGTTGCTGCTGCTGGTTAGTCCTTTGCTTTTCGTCGGTGGCAAAGGCCAAGGAACGAAGCAATTAAATAACCACAGGTAAGTTTGCTGCGTGCAGCCATCCGTTTCTGATCAAATGGTAATTGGCCCCAAAACAACCTCCTGAATGGGAAAAGAACGCTAGATTCTTCCCGTCAACATGTCCAAAAGAATGGAAAACGCCCTTTTGTTTGTGTGAGACCAGCTGCCGCTCTATGTGCTGAATCTGCCCATAAATTCTCACAGCGTGTTCCCTCCAACTCCACTTAACTAAGATTAAAAAACCACAAATGAACTGAATCCCATAAAATATTTTATTTTGTAATTTCTGGAACTGTGAAACCCATATAAAAAAGGCTCTTTTTTTTTTGTTCTTTTTAAAGCAAAACTGAAACGGCGGGTGGTGTAATGGTGTTAGCAACCTCGAATGATGCTTCAAGGAGATACGAGTAAGTCAGAAAATTTGTAACTTTTTTTGACTCAACCACTCCCACCCACTCTAATAAAATCCGCCTCCCTCCCTCCCTCGCTTGCCTTTCCACTCTTATTAATTCTTCGCGTTTGCGGTCTTTGGAGGTGCGCGAGCCAGCGGAGTTGGAAGCAGAGGAGAGCTAATTTCCTTTCCTTTCCTTCCACTTCACTCCTCCCCCGCCGCCTGAAGGAATGGCCCCGACCCACTTCCCAGGTCTGCCTCCCTTCTCCTCTTTTTGATCTGTTCATGGCGTCTATTGTTGGTTCCATTCGTTGCCCTATCTGGGTCTCAACTGGGTTCGCTATTTCCAAGCTTTTTCTCCTTTTCAAGAACTTGCTCTGCTTTTTTTTAACCCTGTTTCGGATCTTGTTTCCTGGAAATGGGCCCTATATTCTTAGAGCTCTGCTCAGCTGCGTTTCAATGAATGAACCTGGGATTTTACACAGGAGACGCTGGAGAAATTTTCCCATATTGACTGCATGGTGTTCGCTCAATGATTACATGAATTTATAAGGCCTGGAACTTTGATCATCTGGGGGGGGGGGGGGGGGGGGGTGAAAAAAGCTTGCTTTGTGGAGTATTAACGAGGGAATACTTTTGAGTATAGCTTTTTGTTCTCTAGCTATTTTATATCTCTGCGCCTCAAGTACTGGTTTTCTATTCCGATCCTCTTTTTTCTTGCAACCCATTCTCTTCTAGATCACCAGTTGCTCCAATCAGAGTCTTGAATAGCCTTGAAGATGGAGCCTTTGCTGGGGACTCACTCAGTCTCGCCATTGACATATGCCCAATTAGTAAAGTGACGTTTTGGTGGAAGTAAAAGCGATTGCACCTTTGAGTAAATTTTGGAGAGCCACGAATGTTCGATTCAGTCAAGTTGCTTTGATGAGTGAACATTGTTCTGATGTCAAGCAAATTTCGATTCTTTTAGCTGAAGCAAAGGACCTTGCTGCTGCCTCGAATCAGAATGGAGGAGAGCCGAAGTCGCTTGTTGTCTGCTTTGGCGAAATGCTGATCGATTTCGTGCCAACAGTGAGCGGGGTCTCGCTTGCTGAAGCTCCTGCTTTTAAGAAGGCACCTGGCGGTGCTCCTGCCAATGTTGCTGTTGGTGTATCAAGACTAGGTGGTTCATCAGCTTTTATAGGCAAAGTATAGTTTCTCACTTAGCTATCCTTTTCATCTCATCATATTGATATTGGGGAATGAATATTGAATCTCCAAAATTATTCATCTGTTTTTTCAGTTAGGTGATGATGAATTCGGCCGAATGTTGAACGACATTCTGAAACAAAACAATGTCGACAACTCGGGCATACGATTCGATCCGGATGCTAGAACTGCACTGGCATTTGTAACACTGAGGGCTGATGGTGAACGGGAGTTCATGTTTTACCGCCATCCAAGTGCAGACATGCTGCTCACTGAATCAGAACTCGAGACCGATATCCTCAATCAGGTACATATACTATGTTCAACATAAGTTATCTCTCGAGTTGATGAAAAATGATGTTGACTCCTTGAGTTACAAATGATCTGCATGCAGGCCAAGGTATTCCATTATGGTTCGATTAGTTTGATCTCGGAACCATGCAGATCAGCACATGTTGCAGCAATGAGAATTGCCAAATCTTCCGGTGCAATCCTCTCTTACGATCCGAATTTGAGACTGGCGTTATGGCCCTCCGCTGAGGCTGCTAAAGAAGGAATGATGAGCATATGGAATGAAGCTGATATTATTAAGGTTGTATCACCTCAAAAGCCATAAATTAACTTGATGCAAATAGAAAGTCTTGCTAATGGTCTCAAACCATTTTGGTATCTTTTTAATAATTCAGATAAATGAGGATGAGATAGTATTCCTAACTGGTGGCGATGATCCAAATGACGATAACGTCGTCCTGAAGAAACTCTTTCATCCCAACCTGAAGCTACTGGTTGTAACTGAAGGGTCAGCGGGATGTAGATATTACACCAAGGTAAATTTACATCACATTTTTTTGTTTCTTTGCCTGAGAGATTCGAAACTGAACAGTTATGCACCAATGCAGGAGTTCAAGGGGAGAGTTCCCGGGATCAAGGTTAAAGCCGTCGACACGACTGGTGCCGGTGATGCGTTCGTTGGTGGCTTCCTCAGCAGCCTAGCATCTGATCACAGTATTCTCAAGGTATATATGCATTACCCTTAAATCTTTGCTTTACATGTAACAGTGTGGTTTATCAGACTCTTGTTCATCCATCTTCCATGTTTGTGTGGTGTCGTACAGGACGAGAATAGGTTGAAAGAGGCTCTATACTTCGCCAATGCATGTGGCGCTGTGACTGTAACAGAGAAAGGCGCGATCCCTGCGCTTCCGTCCAAGGAAGCTGTAGCCCAGCTCATGAAGCAAGTTGTTGTGGCGTCCTCGTGAAAGTGACTGCAGAGTTTGTTGCTTCGCCTTCTCTCCCCCGGGATGTCCGAAGCAGAAAATGCTCGTTATGGGAAAGCATTCGTCGAATCCAGATGCAGGGGATTTCTTGGCATGAATAGGAGGCTATTGGTCTGTAAAATGAAAACGGCCAGTTGGCCCGTGCTAAGTTTTTTTTTTTTTAACTTTTTTGTGCTTTATTTTACTTTTCCTTGTAATAATATACCGGAACGTGATCACTTGCATAAAACAAGGAAAATTGAATAAAACGGGTGTTTGATTCGGACAGAAGGGCTTCCTGTCCTGTTTCATCAATGGTGTTTTGTTATCTTTTCCGATTTGGGCTTCTCCCCATCTTCCATTGTGCCAACTTTGAACAAAGAAAGCTACAGCATCTCTAAGGCTGAAAGACCCATTTGTCTATTCAACTTTTCTTTCTGTTGAGCTGCCGTCTACGTCTGGTTTGAGGCAGGGGAGGCCTTTCACCATTTGGGTAGCTGCATTGTTCTCATCTCCAGCTTGCCAAATTCTGTGCTTTAGCTTTTTTTCAGCTTACAGAAAACGAACATTTGATGGGGAAAGAAGTGGCAAAGGGAGAGGAATGTGAAGGAGACAATTGAAGTTTTGATATGTATTTTGCTGTTAATTCCAAGTTGATTATTTAATTACCCATGAGAAGGGATCTAGTCCAGCGCCTGTTGTAAAGTAAAGCAAATGGCATTAGGCTTTATGTTGGTGGGATTGTTTCTGTGGGCTGGCTGTTGTAGACACTTGTGGTTCAAATTCAATCCATCTGAGATCCCTTGTTATGCTTGTCAAATTGTCATACCACGAAGTGATAATAAAATAAAGGACTTGTGGTACTTTTATCAGTAGTTTGAATCAAGGGGTGGTTTGCTCGAGCATTGGGTGGTTGAACCCACAAATCCACCAAAATCCATCCGCAATCGACCCATCCATTATCATGTGAGTGGTTCTTATGTGTGGGTGTGGGTTGCAAAATACGTGACTCACAAAAGATTGGGTGGTGCAGGTGGACTGTGGTTGACTAGGAATGGCAATGGGTCCAGAACAGGGCGGGTAGTGCAATACCCAGGCCCGCCCTGCTCTTTTGAATTTTGACCCGCCCCGCCCCAAGACCTGCTACGGGCCTTCATTATATGGCCCATGACCTGCCCTGTACGGGGCGGGTTTGCCCCGACCTGCCCCAAGCTTCCAGTTAATATTAGAATTAAGTCAAGTGATATATTGACCCACAAATGCCAAAACCTTCCACAAAATAAATTGTACAATCCAGAGTTCCAAAAAGAAAAACCCGCTCTCCAAAAATCCTCTGAAGTTCAATTCAAATCGTTAAACTGACTGAAATATAACCATAAAATTCCAAAAGATCAGTACTTAATATCTAAGACTTCAATTCCTCTGCCTTCCAATTTCCAAACTCCAAAAGAACTTGAACACCATTGCCACCACTAAATCATGATGCTGCATGCTGCATAACCATAAACAAATGAGCTTTTATAAGTCATTACCACCACAAACAAAGTATATAACAGTATAATAAACACAATTAAATGGCCCAAGTATCTAAACGCAAACAAATACGAACAGAAGATTATGTAAACAAAAACAAGTACTAACAGGTAACACACAACAACTAAACAGTAACAAACTAGAAGAGAAAAATACAGTACGTTGTGCTATAATCGTTCAAAGAAAGGAAAACTAATCTTTGCATAAACACAATCACTTTCTATTATCGTACCTCAATTACCATTATCAGCATGGTCATTGGTTTCCTTTCACACCCAATCTGAACCTCAAGTACTGCTATTTGTGCAGGCTGCATCACAAGTTTTACAGTAACATCATTATATCATAATTTAATAAATTTTGAATACATAAATTGGTTCATAACCAACAAGCAAATTCACTACAAACTGCATAATAGCTACCTTTCCAAGGTCAGATATGTTTTGCCTATAGCTCCACCGGTTTCCATTGTGTAGCTTGCTACAACCTAAATATATAAAACACGAAATCAACATAAAACACAGTCAATCAAAGATGCAGGGATTGATACAAAAACGATAACCAGAAATGCATCAAATAGATACATGCAGAAGCATCAAAGCAAGCAGAAAAACAATGCAGAAACTTCAAATCATCAGCTTGCTGCAAGCTGCATCTTCATTCACCATAAATCCACATGAAACAAATACTTAATATAATAAGTAAACATAACAAATGAGAATAACAAACAAAATTCTTCTTCCGTTATATATCTACTGTTTGCTAGAGCTATATATTACTTACCCTTCTCTAACATGCGAAGAAGCAAGACAAAAGGGAAAAATAAAAAACAAATGTAAGGAATTGACTGGAAAATTCGGAAAAGGTTTGATAAGGGTTTAGCACATCGTGATCTAATATCAAGTGCAGAAATAAACAAAAAAACAAACAATGAATTGATTTGGGCAATTAGACTTCACATGCAAACAAATACAAAAGCAACGAGTGCAAGATTCATTACATGTGCACCAATTGCAAGATGAGGATTTGGCGTGAGGAAGAGATGCAAAGCGGATTGAAAATTGGGTGATAACTAAGAATTGGAGTATTGCTTCGTCGGTGACCTATTTATGTGAAAATTGAAACTCTTCATATGGAGAAGATTATGCAGCAACCTAGGGTTTTGACTAGGAGATGGAAATTGGGAAGGAAGATGGCTTTTTGGGAAGGTAAGCACCATTAATTTGATTCACAGGGAATGATAGCGTGGGTGTCTGGGTGGGAGAGAAAGGGACGATGGCGGAGCTATTTTCAAGATGTGAATTAATACTGTGGGTTCCAAAGATCAGCACAGCAGCATGCGGGTGTGGCATAGGGAGGGAATAGGGAAGATGCGGGGCGGGCCAGGTCCGGGGCGGGTTGAGGGTAATACCCAGGCCTGACCTGACCTGTGGGCGGGCCGGGTAGGACCTGTCCCAAAACGGGCTGGGTCGGGCCAAACCCGTCGGGCCGGGCCAGTTTTGCCATTCCTATGGTTGACCCACGTCCCACCCAACTTTTTAACTTCAAACCATCAAAGCTCTAACATATAGCTTTACCGAAAATGAAACCCTAAAAATCATAAAAACTCCTCTCAATTTCGACCAAAGGATTGTGTTGTGAGATGTTCTTAGGCAATTGGAGGTATGCTTAAGCATAACTAGTCGACAAATGGCTGGAAAAAGACAGTTGTCTTCCCTAAAATGACACCATCTCAAATACCACAGATTCGTCCTTCACTCCTTCCATCAATTTGGATTTGGAATTTGTGACTATAGCTTAAAAAGCAATTTACGCTAACAACGCCCAGGAGAATGAGGCACTAGCCAAGACCAAAACATTTGCCTTATGACAAGTGCCTTCTTGAATCTTGGTTATTATCACGCGTAAACCATGTTTATTAGTTGAATATTTTTGTAATTTGTGGATAATTGCCAATATCAATGTTATAAAATAAATGATTCACCTAATTTATAGATTAAACATTGTTTAGTTTGAAATTTTATTTCATTTTAAGTTTAAAACTATTGAAATTATATGATCATATGGAATATATTTTGTAAACTCACCGAATCCGCCCAAAAATCCATCATCGGCAATCACCCAACCCACCCACATGTAATGCTTGGGTGGGTGTTGATCATTTTCTCCTTCACCGACCACGTAGTGGGTGGTTCCAAACCCACCTAAATCCGAATAAAAACACCCACTGTGAGCTCATTGTTGAATTTGGAAAATGAAAATTTTGATCAAAATCTTAAAATTGTGATGGGTTTGGTCATTATAGATTTGAAAATTTTATCATTGTCTGTTATATTTGATAATGAATTTTGTTTTTATTGGATTTCTAAATGTTAAACATAATCCTTACAATGTTGCGAACAAGGATTTGCTCTAATGATCTTCAACCTAAAGATTATAGGTTTAACTCGTTTCAGTGGCACCTAACTATAAATTGAATTGATATCACCCTTATAAAAAATATTGATGTATTTGTTTTTCAATTATTTGTCTTTGGACGAAAAAAAAAATTCAAATCAAGACTTTGAATCCATTAGCCAAATCCCGCATAATGGTGTTGGGTTTTTTTTTTCCAAATTCATGAACTTTATGGATTGACACCCAACTATTTCATAATAATAATAACAATAATAAAGATTAATGTTTATTTTTTATTCAAATCTTTTTCAGATTCTTTTACATTATCCAAACCTATTAAAATGCTATTAATTAGCCAAATCTTTCGTAGTGTATCAAAATATTAGTCATTTTTACGTTATCGTTAATAATTTTATAACTCTTTTCTTAGTTAAAATACTAAAATTTTGGAATGTTGGCCTTCATGTGTCTCTTCCAAATCAATATCATATTGTCAAGTCAATATTACTAACAAAATTGCTAACTGAATGTTAACATTTGGCTAATTCTTAGTATTTCGATAGATTTGAATAAATATAAAAGAATCTAAAAAATATTTGAATAAAAAATAGACATTACTCTTATTTTATTCCAGCTGGGTGATGATGAATTTGGGCATATGTTCGATGACATCTTGAAACAATATAGTGTTGATAACTCTGGTGTGCGATTTGATGCCTACACAAGGACAGCTCTGGCATTTGTTACACTTAGATCTGATGGAGAACGCGCGAGTTCTTGTTTTTATGACACCCAAATGCATATCTGCTGAGGAAGGAATTATATGTATATGGGGAGTGGACTCAGAAATTCTACATGGGGTGTCTCCTTTTAAAAAATAAATTAAATAAAATAAGTCTTGAATAATTAATAAAAATTAAATAATTCTTAAATAAGAAAATACTTGATTCATACAACTTAAAAAAGTCAACTATGTGTTTTCATATTCGAAAATAATTGGAGAATACATTTGGTGCCTACACTGCTCAAAAAATTATATTTGTGTATCCTACTAGACAATCATTCACGAACTGATCACATATTCGATTTCTAAACTTGTTTTTTATGTAATCGAAAGCTGAAAAGACTCTTTCAATACTTGTCGTACAACCATAAAATCAATACAAATTAAGGGTAGCTTGAATTTTTTTTAATTGTTAGGTTTAGAAAATAATTAGAGATAGTGAATGACATCTTACTATTACACAGTGTTTAATATCGAACAACAAATAAGTTGTAGGCTTGTATTTTAATGGAAATTATGTTTATTAATAATCATAGTGTCCTAGGTTTGAATTACCCAAACTATCACTTATATTCTCATACACAAGCTAGAAAATGATAGTAGGATAATCATTTTTTCAAATTCAGGTATGTCCCCGATTATCAATTATAATTTTTTTGTTCATACGTAATTTACCACCGAGAGTTAAATAA